TAATAAATATCGCAAGAATAGCAACAATAATAAATTTAACAAAATTCTAAAAAGAAAAGGCCAAGAAGGTTTTATGCATTACATGGTGATAAATGATTGGCGCTTAGCTCTTGGTTAACAATCGTCTTGGCAGTTGTCGGAAAAAGCCCTCGTACTTTTGATACGCTTAGCAAGCAAGATTCTGGAAAGAGCGGTACACTTGCAGTTGTATCAGTACTTGATTACCAATAATTTATTGTCCAACAAAGCAGTTTGGTTCCCGGAAGGGTTTCTCAACTACAACAGCTTTGACCTCATTTGCTGATGAAGTGCTCTTAAACATGGAACAAGGAAAGCTTTGCGGGGCCGTGTTCATCGATCTAACCAAGGCATTTGACACGGTAGACCATCAAATAATGTTATGCAAGCTATCCGAGATCGGTCTTTCTGAAACAGCTCCTCATTGGTTCCGTTTTTACTTAACTGGTAGACAACAGCGCATCATCTGGAAATGAGTTATCTGAGGAACTTCCAGTCACGCATGGGGGTGCCACAGGGTAGCATTCTAGGGCCTCTGTTGTTTGTGATTGACATAAATTACTTGCCAAATGTGCTTCACTCCTGCTACGCGTCACTTTATGCAGACGACACTGTAATTTATTGCTATGGTACATCCTCAAAGGAGTTGAGTGATAAGTTAAATAACGATCTACTGGGTGTGGCGAAATGGCTGCATGATCACAAACTGACTTTAAATTTGGACAAAACTAAATGCATGCTTATCGGTAGTAATAGGAAACGCGAAAGCAAAGTAGATTTGACTGTTTCAATTTTAGATCATAGTATAAGTAATGTTCACAGCTTTAAATACCTCGGTATACATATATCTTCGGATTTCACATGGACTGATCACATTAAACACCTAACTGGGAAAATCAATCAGAGGCTTGGGCTTCTCAAGCGTATAAAGCATTTATTGCCTTTCAGGGCGCGTCTACTTTTCTATAAAAGTCTTGTTATGCCCCTTTTAATATACTGATCTAGTATGGGGCGATAAACATAATATTACCCTTATGTCTAGTTTGCAAGTTTTGCAAAATAGGGCCCCCTAAAGTTATTTTAAATAGACCATTGTACTCATCCTCCACTGAGGCATTAGCCGTTCTCAAGTGGCTGCCTCTAGAGAAAAGGCGATTTCAAAGAAGGTGTGTACACGTATACAAATGCATCAATGGCCTAATTAATCACGATATGGACTTGATTAGACAAGACGTACTTCATAGGCATAATACACGTAACAAAGGCAATTTTAGATTACCACGTGTCAAAAAAATTGAGTGAAGCAAAGAACACAATATCATGCCGTTTCCGATTTTAACTCCCTCAGTCAGACGATCAAAGACTCGAGGAATGTAAATAGTTTTAAACGTGTTTTTTAAGTTTTTAATGTAGCTACTTACGTTTAATTTTTACTTATACTTATTTTTAATTTTTATGCATTTTTGTATCTTTTTAATCCCTTTGCAATTTTATAGCTTTTTTTTTTTTTGTTTTTATAATATATATCTAGTTTTGAGGTCCTTTTTGAAAACCATATCTTTTATGAAAAAGTTTCCTCAATAAAGATGATGATTATTATTATTAGCAAATTTGCAGCTTGACGAAACCCTTCTATTCCCTTTAATGTCTTATGTCGTGCGCCTTAACTTTTGTCTGTTTTGCTAAATTTGTTTTTCTTTGTTTTTTTTTTTCCGGTTCTTTTTCAGCCGCTTAGGTTGTTCATTTAATTTGAGGATAATTTCCACTTTCATTTGTAATTTTGATAACGTCAACCTTTTAGGCACTGCCAGTTTTAGAAAATCGTCTTTTTTTGCAATAATTGCTAAATTTGCGGAATTTGCCTTTGTCATTTGCCTTAACGATTTCCTTACCATATTTGCGATTTTCATGGTTAAAACCCGTTTAGCCAGTTGCGCATAGATCCTTGCTGCTTTACTGTCTTTCCTAAATTTGCAGCTTCTGGACCCGGGGATACTAAAAAATTATACTCTTTATACCATTCCTTGACAGAAAAGGGATCGTATACCTTCCATTGACAAATAGTACCCCTGCACCTCTTTCAGGGGCACCCAACGACAATTTTCGGAAAAATATCTGTTCGGAAGACGATTTGATATCTAGAATTTTCGGACATTTGTTGTAAGATTTCTTGCTTGCCTACCTCTCCTAGGATTTTCGAACATCTAAAAAATGGTATAATTGCCTATTTTTAACGGATTTTTACCCTAAAAAGGTCACCTAGAATTTTCGGGAGCCTTTTTCCTGGCTGAAATTTTCGGAAAGGTAAGTTTTGATCCCTATAATTTTCGGATCACTAGACTATCAGCTAGGAAATCTGAACAGATGAAAAATTTTTAGGGGATAAAAATATGCCTATATCTACCGTTTAAATACTAAAATGCGTTTAACAATTCTATGTTTAAGTGGTTTTGAACTATATTCTCGTTGGGTGCCCCTGCTCTTTTTAAGCTACTGTAAATGGACCGTCTTTTAAATATGAATAAATCTCTCAACCAGAACGGTTCTTGTCTTTTTCATAGTCTTTTAACCTTTTTAGGTCCTTTCAAGACCGCAATGACAGATTTTCTTTCCCTTCCATATACTTCAACTAGTGAAACCTCTACTCTTGCATATACCTAAACCCTGAAAAGGTACTTCTTTAGGGAGAAGCCTTCATGCATAGGCCATTATAGGTAGGGTTTAGGAGTCAAGGAGGCTCTTGCCTTGCTATTTTTTTCCGTCGTTTTATAGACAAAATTTTTTGTTTCTTGTTATAGCATTCTGCAAGTAGACACTTGTTGCTAAAACTGTGCTAGGACATATTTCAGTTTACCGATTTTCTATTTTTTTTTTTTTTTGGCACGGCTTTAAACCATGAAAATAAGTGGAAGAATCCATAAAGGTTTGCAAAGACCATATGGCTAAATTAGAAATAGCCGCCATATTTCTTCTTATCTAAAAGAAAAAAAAAAAATTACTCAAGACGTTTAAGGCCTGGGTCAAAGTTGTGTTTGGAGCATATGAATGATTGGCAATATCTCTCGCTAGGAGATCTAGAGAAAAATGAATTTTTGGCCAAAAGTAAATCTTGAGGTTTTCTTGTGCCTTAAAGTTTAATCATGGCCACTTGACATGTCAGGTGACCAAAAACTGAATGGTGGCGAATTTACTTTGTTTGGACAAACAAATTGGCATTTCTGAAAGAAGATAAACATACCTAACTTTTTACGTTTGGAATGAATGCACGCAAAGTTAAGAATTAAAGTTTTAAATAATTCAAGATCCAATTAGGGCATTTTAAATGATGTTCTCCCTTATAATTTTTTATTGAAGTGCAATGGATGGTCATTCGAAACCTGAAGTATTAGAAATATTTAATAAGAATTAGAAAAATGTTTCTCTCGATTTTTTTTTCTTAAACCGGCCACTAATTGGTCAATAATTTAAGATTTTTAGCAAAATGGTCACGTAATATGTCACGTGACTTATTAACACAATATTTTTCCTATAAAATGTTAAGGACGATGCCATGATCTCTGTGCCGAAGTTTTAGCCAATAAATAATTTTCCACAGGTAAACCCCTTAGTCCCAGGCCTTAAACTACTTGAGAGCAAAATCTCTTCATACTCTGAAACACTTTTTAAATGGCAAATTTGCAATTTTTTCCCAGTTTTGAGCAGCTTTTTATGCTCTCTAGTGCTCATAGCTATGAAAGTTTCAGTTGGGGTTCAACTGTATTTATGCTTTTTTTTCTTTTTGGTAAGCCGTGGTGTAATAAGTTTCAAACAAAGCCGAGTATACTTTCTCACGATTTCCTTTTGGTATCCCCTTTCCAATGATCCTTTAGAAATTCTCATTAGATCATAGAAATGAAGCAAATTCGGTAGCCAAAACAAACACCACCCTCCCCACCCCCACTCTCAGATTTGGTGCATAGTCCTTGATAAATACCTCTCCTTTGGGCGATAGTTGACACTATCCTTTATCCTCTCTTGCCGATTGTCAATTTAGTAAAGTCAAGCAAAACGATAGAGGCCTTTATGTTTGTGCCAAGCATCTTAAAACTTACTACTCTATTCCTTTAATTTTTCTGTTTTAATTCTATCGGAGCCCTTTTACAGGGAGCTAGATTACTAGGGCTCTTTTAATATTAAAAAAATAATAATAATTTAACCATTTTTCGCGAAGTAATTCATTATGCGTTTATATTGCACGCTTCCTAGAGTCATGCACTGCGTGCACTATGATAAGTTCAAAGTATTATGCACGTAATTGACGTATCACCTACCACTGGTTTCACAGAGGTATTTAAGACTGTTGAAACATGCTAAATCATTCCATTTTCCATTAGAAGGAAACATCATTGTGCAATCCTCATTTCTTCCCAGGTCGTTGGGTTCTCCAGGATTCCAGTTAGTATATGTCGCTCTTGATCCATCAACCCACAACCAACGTGAATCGTCTTTGGGATCCCTGTACAAACCAATCCATACTCTTTGTGATATGTTCGAAGCAAGTGCTTGTTGTTTGGCTTTTGGTGTCACCATAGCGAGCTTAGACCCCATAGCTTCACAAGCAGATTTTGCAGCGGTCCAGTTCAAACTCTTTGACGAGACTTTGTAGCATGAACCTTGTAGATGAATCCAGTTATTGGGACAAAGCCCTACATTTTGGAAAGTCAAAAGTACACTTGGTGATGAGTTCATTTATCTCATCACTTTGATTCTTTCTTGTTGAGTTAAACAGATCAGGACACAGCCGAAGAACACTCAAATTCAGACCTTTTGTAAACAATCTGATCTGCAAGGGTATGTGCGTAAAATTTATTCGGAAATGATGAATTCATCAGACGCGCACAAGCAATTAAAGAAACTTAAAATAGATGGTAGCCTCTTATATCGAAGAAATGTAGGCCAAATGGTGCGAAGAAAGCCACCATATCTTCATCAAGGAATAAAAATAATGATAGATGTTATAGTGATTGCTACGTTTGTATATAAGCTATATGCTGCAAAAATACTGAAACGAGTGTCTTGTAAACGGGTTCGTTTTAAGTTCAACCTCCTGGTTAAAGTATCAAGTTTGAACGTACCGCGCTACATGATGATTAATATATTCACATTTTTTTGGGTGATGCGACATAAGGTCCTCTTCTTGAGAGTATTTCAGCAGTAGAGAAGGTGAGCCTTTGCTCAAAAGTAGGCTGACTTTCATTGGCTCTAGGAGTTGGTTGCCTTCTTTGGCGGTCAAATAAAGCCTAACCCCCGCAGATTGGTGTCCTCTAGAGCTTTAATTTTTATTTTCCCAAAGAGTATCTCCAACTCTTTCATACACTAGCCATCCCCCCGGGATAAAAACCCACTTACCCCAAGGAATATCAGTGTATCCTCCGAACACGTACGAGCCTTTTTTGATGATTGCAATCGTGTGATTTTTCCAATCACATCTGCTGTGGAAGGTACTGGCAGCCCAACCATGAGTGGAGGCCTGCCAACACAGAGCCCAGTTGCTGTTATTCCCAATCGCAGGGGAAAGAAACTGTTTTACCACAGTCGAGATAACATCTGGGTGAAAGAGAAAATAGGAATTGGTTTCACTTGTTTATATCTCTTGCAGACATCATCCAGCTATTCGTGGCGAAACATAGAGCAACGACGTGCCGCAATTTTTCAGGGTTAAGGTGTTTCGATACAGTTTTTCAGCGGCCATACCGATATTTTTCAATCGCCTTAAAAATCATGACTTTTTTCCTTGCTATAAAATTTTCACCAGTAATTGGCTATGAATTGAAATTTGTGAAAATTTAGTTTTAAGTAAAATCGATGTTACTGCGATAACGATAAACAAAAAACTTTGAAAATGATACAAGCCGAATTTTGTGTGAACTAGACCAGCTACTGAAAATCCAACACTAGGAACTCACAGTTTGGTGTTCAGCAAACAGTCTCCGTAAGGAGTAAAAAATTCTGTATGTTTGAATTCGACTAAAACGACTCAAAATATATTTCATACCTTAAATTTTCAATAGCCGTTATAGATTATTCAATAAAAACGTTATAAATGACTCAAATTATTCTTAAGTAGCTTGAAAATGCTGCTTAATCTCATAGTTTGATGCTAGGAAATTTTGGAGTATTTTCGTTCTTGCGATCTTGAAAACTAATCCGTTTTCTCACCACCTGTATAAGTGCAACGTCATTCAAAATTTGGACTTTTATTAGCACTTTTTTGTATATCTCTGAAACGACTCGAACGAATTTGTTTAAAATCTCTTCACATAATCTTCATAATGTATATAATAATGTCTGAAACTTTCATTAAGATTGATTCACGACTGCAACGCCTTAAAATTTCAAGACAAACCTGTCCTACGGACCTATCAAAAATCTGCGTTAGAACATTCACTGTTTAGATGTTATTCTAATTTTCCAAAATAATGCGCACTATACATACCTCCATGAATAGTACAGTTTAGTGTGAATTTATCTTATCTTTTGAACGTAAAACATTGACAATGCTCACACTGAAATGTACTAGTCAGGAATATATGTATTGTCCGCATGCATTAACTTGAAAGAATTAGCATAACGTCAAAACACTGAATGTTGTAGCGCGGATTTTTGACAGGATCGTAGGATAGGTTTGTCTTGAAATTTCAAGATGTTGCAGTGAATCAATCTTAATTAAAGTTTCAGACGTTATTGTATACATTATGAAGATTATGGGAAAAAAAAAATTAAAAAAAATTCGTTCGAGTCGTTTTAGAGATATACAAAAAAGCGCTAATAAAAGTCCAAATTAATAGTATATATTATCGATTTTACTTAAAACTACATTTTCACAAATTTCAATCCACAGCCAATTACTGGTGAAAATTTTATAGCGATCGGACAAGGATAAAATCACTTTTAAAGTGATTGAAAAATATCGGTATGGCCTCTGAAAACCTATATCGAAACATCTTAAACTCGAGAATATGCACAGGCCAAGAGGCCGTCCATCAAGCTAACTAAAAATGAATACGAAGAACATAATTTTGCCGGAATTAGCCTTGTTTAGACTATAATTCAGACGAATGAATGTAGGTGACGCTGCCAGGCAGCGACATATTACAAAACGGACGACAGACACTCTCAGATCGGCGAATACAGCCGTAACTCTTTGCTCCCCAGTGCTAGGGACCTTTTTGCGGGAGAAACGTCACCGATTCGGCTAGGCTGTGCAGCAAGCGTTTCCGCGCTCGAAAGTGGGAGCGAGAGCAAAGAAAATGGAAGTAGGGAGAGGGGAAGGGGAGAAAAGGTTCCTTTCTACCTCCTCCCTATTTCTTTATTTTTTTCTATTCAGTTTTTTAATTTATTATTTTTTGGGCCCTTGGTGCAGCTAATGACGTAAATCGATGTTTACATAATCAGTCTCGCTGGTAGTCATGGGGTTCGTTTATTATCGTCAGGTTTCCAGTTCTTCTGCGTGCGTGTGACAGCAAAACTCAAATGTCTTCTTGTAAACAAAGATGTAACGAAGATGTAACAAAGATGTACTCCACCAATAATGAATGTTTTTAGTGGATTCATCCCGTTTACATTTGATCTTTGTGTATTGTAAACTAGTAATGATAGATCATTTAGGTCTCTGCGAGATCACAGATGTCAGCGAAACAAACATCGCTTAGGGTACAAAATCTTTTGCCATTGTGCGAACTGTTCATCGTTATTCAGCTCCAAAAAATTCCGCACAGATACATCAGACGTCGAAATAAGCACTACTTGGGAATACACGGGTAAAATTCTGTAAACGTAACGTACTTTATCCCGGAATGTGTTTTGTGCAGTGGGGAAAAATAAATAGAAGCAAACGCACAGGTAAAGTCCTCAACAGAGCATAAAGAGCATGAAAATTGTTACCTGTACTGAGCCAGGTTGTTCAAAGATGCAATCTTGGACAAAAAGTGTTGTCTATTTTGCACTCTCTTACCCTCCAGAACGCTTATCCCTCTATGGCCCCTCCCCTTGCCCCACCCTGGTCAAAGTTGTCTAGTCGGGTTTAGAAATGATCCACCCCGGCTTCAACGTTGTTGTTTTGGGTGGACAAGGGAGAGTATTTGTAGTTGTCAGCGCTTTCAAAAGCTTTATCTTGAATCTAGACATGGTAATGTCCATTTGTCCCAACATTTTTCTCCAAGATTGTGGGTTGAGATAACCCAGAGTTAGTGCAAAATTTGAATTCAGCTATGAAAGCGTAAAAAAACAAATTCAGTTTAATTATTTTTGTCTACAATGAGGTGATGGAATGTTTCTAAATTGAAGAATAGCGAAAATTACCCGAGAAAATGCTTTCGTGCAAAAGAAAGAGAAATCCAGATTAAAATTTAACACCGGGTTCAAGCGATAATAGTGTTCTTCGAACAGCTGGGCCCTGGTGTTTATTTGTGTCTTGGTACGATGTTTCAGCTCAATCTGACCGGTATAACATCTCTTACTAACAATGAAGTATCGTCCGAGAAGGGTAGGCCAGAATCGCCATCTCAGGGGATAGAACCCGCCTCAAAAACAACTCGAAATTAATTCTCTCGCCTAAATCAAATAACTCCGTGCTTTCGAAAAATGACGAGTTGCACCATCTGTTTTTTCTTGATCGAACAAGGGTAATGGGAATGTACCTATGACTAAATTCCGGCGCCAAAAATGCAGACGTACGGCAAAAAAAATGTTGAAAAGGCAACACATGTACCTGACTATGGGAGGAGAAGCAAGTTCTACAGGAATCCAAAATATTAGAGGTTGAGTTCTCCTAACGTCGAACGCGCACGATGCAAAAGCTAAAAGAATGAGATTACAAAGTCGACCAATCACCAGATTTCAGAAAGATGTACGTAATCAATAAATTTGCTGGCTGAATTGCAAACATCTCTCCCACGAAACGCCTCTAGCGGGGAAGAATGAGGAGGGACAGCTGAACTCGCATTGTCGGCTGGATGTAAAGGCTTCGTGTAGGATTTAAATTGATCGTGTATATTATCACCCAACAGCATTCAACACCTTCACCTATATTAGGTACTTACATAACTTGATGTACCGTGTAGCACTTTTATTATACGGTGCTTAATTCTTGTGGATTTTGCGGATGGTCGTTGATCCGCAAAAATAAGTTCCGGCAGATAACAAAAAAAAAAAAACTAGCAAAATTAAAAACCGCTATTTAAAAATAGCTTTTAATCCATCAGTGCTGCTAGTACCATACATCAGGATAAAACAAGAACGTTTCGTTTAATATTTGCCCTGATGAGAAAAAGCAATCGGACCTTGCCTGCTATACAAATAAAACGAAACGATAAAACGATAAAAGTTTAAGTCAATACTTTTCCAGTGTCTAAGGCACAAGAGGTACACTGAAGAACAACGATGCTCTACCGGTAGCTCTAGATACGCTTCTGCTGTTGCTTGCGCAACAGGTGTTGATTGACTGAGTTTAGATTCGTTGTATTTTAATTTGTATTTTAAGTCGGGCTTTTACAGCTTAACTGGAAATGTTTTGTTGTAACCGACCAGCTTGTCGTTGACTGAAATGTCTGAGAAGTATAGACTGCTGTTTTACCTTAAAAAAAAGTAATAAAAGTTGAAAATATTACGATCCTCGATGCCTTGTTGATGTTTTGCTGCTCGAAAAGAAAACCGCCGGCAAAAATTAGTTCCATCCCAGCGGAAATTTCAGTCAATTGGAGCCGTAAAAATTTGTTCCTGTAAACCTCAAAAAATCGCCAATCCTCAAAATAAAAGTCCGTCAAAAATTTCATGCTACACGGTATAGACGGTATAACATGTTGCGTATGGGCGAAAAATTCAATGCAAATAATAACAAAAAGAATCTAACCAATTTCGCATCGATTCCCAGCATATCCTGGAGGGCAACTGCAGTTGAAGCCATCAATTAGGTCGATGCAAGTTCCATTGTTCAAACAAGTGATATTGACACAGTCATTTATATCTGTAGGAGAGAGTCAAAGCAAAGGTATTTTACAGAATGTTCCGCAATTTCTAGCAGTACATACGACTTCAGCAAAAATTAAAATACGCTGCAACATGTAGTAGTACTCAGGGTTTCTCCACTGGCAAAGTTCTCTAATAATGTGCCCCCCTGTGATTTAACTTTCAAGAGAGAGACAGTTTAGAGAAAACAAAAAGCATAATTTTATACTTGTTTCAGCCAAGTATCGCTTACTCGTTTCGCAGTTTCGTCCCGTGAATCCTTTCACGCAGGTACACTTATATCCATTTTTCTGGTACAAGGGAATGCATTTGCCAGTGTTCTTACAGGGCGAGCTGTCACATGGAGACTACACAAAGAGAAGCAAGCCAGATATACAATATAAGTATTAAGTATAATTAAACTATAATGTAATCTTATGATTAGCCGGATAAATTGTTGTTGGTAAAGTTTTTCACGATATTTATTATGGATTCAGGCTTAGCAAGGTGTGTGATCGTAGTTATTCTTATAGTCAGAATCAAAAGAATTTCGGACTTTTGGAACACGACGTTCTTCATCCCCCAACTTAAAGGGGCTATGTCAGCTGGAGAGCATGCGCGCTGAAGTTATGCAAATTACTTTCAACCGTCAAAATTCTATTGTTTAAAACGCTTGACTTTCTCTGTCACTTCCTCTGAAAATTACAGAGACGTTTACAAGCGATTGGGTTTGTATAAGGGATATTTTGATAGAATTTAAAGAATGTTTCCTCTCTGGTTATACTAGATCAAGTTCTCTCAATTTCTTCGAACGCATGCCATTCATAAAAGTAGAGCGCAAACAAAAACTCAACAACAACATTGTCGTATTCAACAAAATAGATCAAAATTTTATTTTATTAACGACCTACAAAAGACTCTAGACCAAAGACTAATAAAGACGAAGCCCTATTTGTTCAAAAGGTGGATAGCGCTATCCACTGGATAAACCACTATCCAACGGATAGCGCAATTGGTTTTCGTCATGCTTATCCTCTGGATAACGATTTATCTGGTGAATAGCGCTGTCCAACGTTTGTACAACAGGGGCCAAGACTGTTTCAAATCTTTTAATAGTTAGACTTGTCTTTCTTTACTGATTTTATAATTTAGATGCTGACAGAACAAAAGAGACGCTGTTGTTGATGTCTTTGTTTTGACATTTTTTTAAATAGGGAAACCCACATTGATCGCGCAAAATTGTTCGATCGTGCCGAATCAATGCGACGTGGAGAAAAACAGAACCAAGTATCATTGGTACACTACTCCGTTGTAAGCAGTCCGTCATTAAAAAGGGAAAGTAAACTCTGATATTAAGTTTCCAAAAATATGCTCGAACACAAACAGTTCAAAAACATGGCATTCACAGAATCTAACTCGTCCTGTTGCCTCTCCTACGTCCGTTGAGAACAAGCTGCTGGAAGAGCAACTGGTCGCGTTTAGCGTTGCCGTGAATTAAGATATATAAAAGAAGGCCAAGCAGGAATCTAGCCGAATTCTATAACCGTGGTTCATACAACTTCAGACAAAAACATTTCAAGGACTTTTCAAGGATTTTTCAAGGACAAATTATAATTTTCAAAGACTAAGATTTATCAAATAAATCGGCATTCTTTAACCCACTTTCATCACCGTACAGTTGCTAAAACACGTCAAGGAGTTTTTTGTGATTTTTACCGCTTCTTCGGCCATTGTTGATCACATTATTTTATACGTCTACTTTCCGCAATAAGACTTTGCAAACTGACTAGGTATGACTTGCAATTGCATCTTAGGTTCTCAAATAGCATTTGAAATAAAGAAACAGAAATAAAATATTGTTCATACACAAAAATGTTGTTACGTTATTCGTGAGTTTCACAGGTTCTTACATTGAGGATGAGTCAAATATTTTAGGCAAAATAATATAATTTTACATGAAAATGGTATCTGGTGTAGATAAGGTTGTGAATATCAAGGACTTTCCAAGACCTAATAAAGAAATCCAACACTTAAATAATAATAATAATAATAACAACAACAACAACAACAATAATAATAATAATGATAATAATAATAATAATAATAATAATAATAATGAGATCAAGTAACGGGAATTTTGCGCAGCTCTAACAAATGTAAAGCAGACTTTGATAAGTCCCTTAGTTATTGTCTCCGATTTTTAGAAAATTTGATGCTTGGTTTTTCATAGTATAGCACTTCTACCGCTAGTAACATGTATTTCTTGTGACGCAATAACAAAAGCGGTTTTTTATGATAACGAAACACGATCGCGAACAGTTCATTATTTTATCTTTAAATGTGCGTTGCTATGGCAATATCCCATTAAATCAGGCAAACATTATAGGGGCAACGTGCCTCTCTTATGTGAAAAAGGAAGAAGAAAGTTGTAGGTACAATTAAAATTGTTTCAACAAGGCAGTTAACTCGTTTAAATTCCTTTATTGCCTGGAACGTTTAATGGATACGAATTCCCTCGATTGAATGTTCCCATAGGTGAACAGGTTAGGTGTTTTGTGTTGCCATAGTAATGTCCAAACAGAACAAGAAAAGCACTAGAAAATGAGAAAGTTTCGGTGCCTCAGTTAACTTTCAGTAAGGAAACGTTGGGATTGAATTTTCTTCGTTTCCCTTTTGCTTTGTTTCATGAATTCAAGAAGCAACGAATTTGACATTCATGTCGATGCTTAAATGACATGGATATAATTAAGGACGGCAAGTAATATATATTTTTATATTTTGCACTCCCCGCTGGATTTGCTTAGTTGAGTTTTTAGTGAGGTTTTGAAAGTCAACGCTGTCTCATTTACCCAGAATTGGCAATTCAAGACGTTGTCCTGATATAGTCGATCTATTTAACCGGCAGCAGATCAGCCTACACTAAGAGTTTTAAAACGTTTCTGTAACTTTTAAGGCAGGTCAAATATAGGCAAACAAATAAATGAGGAAACTTCATGGTAAAAAAATGTGCTTTGCGAACTAAACGCTTTTTGTCAGCAAATAAAACAGTCGAGACCTCTGCCTGCAACTCCTCCCTCGTTAACGTTTAGGGCATTCGAAGATAAATATATCGATTTCATCTAGTATGTTTGGGTGTCAGCAGACGGTTCAATTAAGAGTCTAAAGGGTAAGGCTCACCCAAACTCATTAGTTAATGTCTTTGCATTAAAAGCACAATCTAATCCTCTGCTGCATTCAAGATTTTCCAATCGAAGAGATACATAACTTTCGAAACTAGGGAGAGTCGAAAGAAACTAAACACACAAAACAAACAAGAAGAAGCTTTCTATTTTCCCCGGAAGGAACATTTATGATTAATTAGAAGTTTGACTTACCGGAATATAAAAGTGATGAAACTCTTTGCTGGCGTTGAACTTGTCCGAGGGCAGGAGTTCGCAAAGAAGTTTACCGTTGACATCAGGAAAGGCAGCCACGTTGTAGGAAAAACACGAAGGAATTTCTAGACAGGCGTAGCCACAATCGTTTTCGTCTTTAATAAGATTCCGCCCAATACTGGAGATATTCAGGTAGGAAAATTCACTTATCATGAAGTTGACATAGAAAAAGTTGCCCATCGATCCTTGACTGAAAGCTTTTTAAAAGAAGAGAGTGGAATATGAGATTTCCACGTTCTTTTTTTCATGTCACAATAAAAATCACCATTAAAGAAATAGAAAATGGATTTTATGTACCTTGAGAATCAGTTTGAAGGGTGGAAAAGATCCACAGAAAAAAGAAGTGGTTTCTCCGCAGAATTACTGGGTTTTCCATCTTATGCAGATGTCATGAGCTTTTATGTAATTGAGTAATTCTGCCTGGACTGCATTCAAACAAACACCCACCTTTCCGAACTATGTCGCATAACCGTGTTTATGCTTAACGTTAAACAATATTCATCAGAGTGAATCAATAGCCATCAATAAATAATTAACAACTCGTCTTGTTGTAAAGACATATTTATTTAGGGAATTTGATAAGTTTTAATGCTGAGACAGACAAAGAGAAAGCAGTATTTTCACCCTAGCAAGTAGTTAAATCTAAAAGTTACAAAAGCAAAAACAAAAAGTTTAGAAACTGCTTTCAAATATTTCGTCTTTAAGAGACCCAAGACTGAGGGGGAAAGAAATAGAGGGCGAGCGGATTATTATCCCCTTTTCAAGTAATTATTAACTCTAGAAACTAAAAAGTTTTAAAAAAAACTTCCTGCAAATATTTTATCTCCAAGACAGAGGGAGAACGAGCATATAGAGGGAGAGCAGTATGTTCACATTTGCAAGTGATTAATTCAAGAAACTAAAAAGCTTAATAACTGCTTTTAAATATCTCCTAGGAGAGTAGTTTTATTATTTGTCCAATTAACTTCAATTATATTAATGAACCATTGTTGAAAATATTATGCTTCAACACAATTAGCCATGACAGTTTTCAAGTTTCAAGACTTGTTAAATTCCCGTTGCTTTCGAGTTTATCAATATTTATCCATTAACGATCAAAAAAAAAAAAAAAAAAAGAAAAGAAAAGAAACAAACAAAATTATCTTTGTTTCAAGACTATATCCTGACATTGGGAAATTATCGGCGGGTTGAATTTTGCAGACGTATTTCCAACTTAATTGTTTTTACAAACTTTCCATGGACCAGGTGAAAATATCTCTGAGCGTGATCGGGGCTACCGAGAGCTCTTAAAATGGAGCTTGGTGATTGGTGAACTTAGAAATCGTTTTATCAACATAATATGGATAAAACGAGAACTTCCTCAATTAATTTTCTTGTATGAGTTACTGCAGGGCAAGTTACTAATTGAGACTAATTTTGCCCTTAATACTCCCACGCTGAGTTTGGTTGAAATTACACTGCATAACTAGGAAATAAATAACCAAAAAATGGAGATTCTGAGCGGGCTTTACTTAAATTATTAATATGCTAATCACCCCTCAGAATAACTAAACAGGGAAATAGCAAAAACTATGTGCTTTCCTACCAAAGGATTTACTGCAAATCACACTGGAGTACTGGCTAACCCAAGGAAAGCACCTTAACTTTCCAAAAGAACATATTTAGCTCCTATATACTGAAGGTTACAAATTGTAAGTATCATGCTACGAGCAGATAATGGGCGGTAAAACTTCAACGAAACACAGACTAAGTGGCGCGTTAATAATATCAATAATTCAACATTACAAAGCAAGCCGGCTATAGGTTTCAAATCGAGCAAGGTCTACACTAATCGACCAGCGTCAGATTCCACTTTTGCAACCGGAGCGTCCTTTTAGAGCAGATTTTTTTTTTTCAATCAATCGTCCTACATTCATATTTGAGTAGCTTGTTCTAAAAGTGAACAGTATATCTGTGACAATTTCTGAAATCAGAAATCCGTTGCACAAATCGATCAGACGATTAATAAATTTTCGAATCTAAAAGAAGCTTTGCAAATCGAGCAGCCAACTCATGAAGCCTTGCGAGGGTGCACTCCATCGCTGACTTGCTGCCGATGATTTAGACTGCCTTTAGCGTGAGTATCAGGCGTTTCTGGGGGAAAAGGGGAAATATGGAAGTGAAAAGGGGAGAGAGCTGCAGGATAGAAACGCCTGACACAGATGCTTTTACTGGAGCCTTCCTCCCCCACACAGCATGATTCGATACCATCCAATCAAAATCACTTCCGGTCATTGGGTTGTCAGCTTCACGTGTCAAAAAGCTCACCTAAAATAAATGTCGCCTTACGGTCTGGCCCAACTCCGGTGCTTTGTGGTGCTTTGCTACGATTTCGCTTTTTTCTGAAACCTACACAGTTTTCGAATACTTGTAATGGAAAACCTACCGTTTTTTGAGGATTTTTAACATGTTTTAGGAATTGCGCTAGTGTAAAGATCGCCAACGCTCTGTTTCTAAATAAACGTGTCCCTGGAAAATTGTAAATTGCTCTTGTTTACAGTGTTACAACATGCGCTCATTAATAAGCAGGTTCCTGAGAGTCTAGCAGCTAAAAAGCTGATTTACATCAGGCAAAGAATCGTCCAAGGTTTTGTTGGTTATCCCTCGTATTCTCGGGTGGTTGAAAGGAGCTGCAAGAATAAATAGGAAGGTGCGATGGTGAAACACCTATGCGAGAAAATTATCAAGAAGCAGCAAATTCCACCAATTCACAGAGAGCTCGTGAAAGCTGTTACAAGTTCAGTAAAGAAAGAAGTGATAGCCTATAGCAAAGGTCAATCCCGTTGGCGAAATACGATGGTGCCTGCTTGAGCTTAAGACATTTCAAAAGTGACAAAAATTTTGGAGGAGGAATCGACCGAATTCCAGTCAAGTACGCTATCGTAACCGCCACGGTCAAGCTAAAGCCTCGGTGCTGTCGGCTATTCTCAATAGATGGCTACCTCGCACTAATTTTATTTACAGTAACAATACCCTTTCAACGGCAGGATGTTGTAAATCATTCAGAACTTAATTAGATATCTGAAGCACTGATATCGTCTTCTTTCTCTTGGTCTTGTGAAACCAATACTCGGACATAGTTTCAGGAGAAGCTGGTATATGAGGCTTTTCCATACTCCGAGAACATCTTTTCTTTTAACTACTAAACTTTGAAAACACAATTCTTGCTCAGTTATTTTCATTCCAGGAAAGAACTTGAGAGCGCCCTCTAGAGCCGGTTTGAATTCCTCTCTGCCTCTCTGTCCATAAAAGTACCACATGAAATCAAAACATTGATGAAAATTTTCAATGGCTTCTCATTGCCGATTCCTCTGCTGGTATTTTGTTGTTTTTGTTGTTGTATTTACTTGCGGTCGGGGACGTCAGGGAGTATTATCTGTTATCCAATCACTGCCACATCCAGATTTTGGATGTGTCACACGATTTGCTGAATGGTTTTGTGTCAGGCCTTCCTTTTTCTTCTCCTCCTCCCCCTACCCCATCTAAAATCTCCTCTCCCCTAGCCCCTTAGGAAGGCCTGATACTCAGGCTAGACTGCCTTATTCAATATTTGAAATTTATCACTACTGCACTTGAAGTTTAAAATAACCAGTTGACTTACGGCATTTTAAATTTAAGGGAACAATAAAGATAAGCGAAAAAGTCGTGAGACCAGGCAGAGGACTGAAGCGAGTCGACGTTTCATCACACGGCAGCGAAAATTTGCTGGGAAGTAATGTTTTAATAAGCAAAAGTTTAGTTACACAGAAAGAAGTAAAAAATAACGCGGATAAGAACGAACGACGTTTCGGTGTCATCTCGACTCCATTTTCAAGTTCATAATGATTGCTAATTGTCCAATCGGACTCAATTCGAGCAAAACTTTTTGCGTGACTTTACATATTACATATATGCTAACCATCATTCAAAAATTTTTGGCAATATATCGGCAAACATTTTGAAATGCGAAGCGGAGAGGTGAATAGAACGATTTTCGTATGACCGTGAAAAATGGTTTCGGTAAATGTTCGTTACTTGCTTTATCAGCCAATGTATGAAAAGATCAACACATGCCTTCTTCATTTTCCCGCCAAAGAAAACCTTAATACGGAGAAGGCATTGTTCGATTGGCCAATCGTGTCGCAGTATGACGTCAAAGCGAAATATCGGTTGATTTCTAGAAAGTTCTCGTTCGCTTAACCAACCAAAAGCCACGTGCGTTTCTATCCGTTCGATAAACCTATCAAATTTCTCTATATCGGTTCGTTTGTTGTTTCTGTTTTGTTGGGTCGTTTTCATTTCAAGGTCATACGAAAATCGCTCTATCCACCACTAGCCATCGACAATCCGTTTTCATCTTTGTCATGGGAAGCTGAAGAAACACACGTAAAAGTTGAGGTATATTAGTAGTAGAGTAATTTTAAACAAAACAGAACCATTATTTCAGGATTTTCTGTTATTTCAATGTGTCTTTAGAGTTTTTAAAATAATGAGAAAAAAAAATCGTGACATAGCTTCATCAACTATAAGGACTCACGGCGGGAGAAAATACCTCAACCTCGTCAGGTGAAAAGTAATCGGTTCCAGCCAGGATTGTAAAACGGTCTGTAACTCCATACGGAAGAGCGTAAGAGCTGCCAAAGTTGGATAGTGCAGGAATTAGTATTCTGATTGGCATTATCAGCAACGTATATGTCATGCCCACCACCAAAAACAATAACAAAAGGAAACGTGACGTATCCCCGACAGCATTGCTGTTTTAGGTCAATTATGTGCTGCAGTCATTACTTTGTGCCTTTACCCATATACAAAATGCTCCTGTGATTTTTGTAGCCACGACATTAAAACTTGAAAACGTTGGCCCAACTTCTCCAAGTTTCAGTCCATGTCTATCCTTGCCCTCCGCAATTGCACTGAACAGACCACAGGGAACAGTTTCAGTGCCTAAAGTTAGTCTCAAATAACACAATGTGATTTCATGTACTAATTTTCCAATTCAATTAAGTGAAAAAAAACAAAACAAAACAAAACAAAACAAAAACAAAAACATAGCAAATAACGTGACATAGTCCCCTTAATAAATAAGTAGATGGCAAATTGTGCGTAACTTAAAATACCCTTGGCTATTAGGGAGATTAAGCTACGACGACGGCGACGGCAACGAGAACGGGACAATAACTTTGGACGTACATTACGTTTTTTGTATATTTCTTTAACGTAATTGTACGGCTGCGACGTGAAAGCGCCTAGATAATGAATCAAGATTTCACTGTTCAATAAAAAGCAATATTTGTCTGAGAAAAAGAATTCGTGCAGAAGGGTTCACCTGAAAAAAAAAATTCTTGCACAAGCAGTGAGCGAAAAAAAAAAAAAAATTCGTGCGAGCTGAAAAATTCCCCCCCCATCACTTTTCTTATGGTCCGTCCCTTAATTTTAAGACTACATTTTAAATCAGTAAAGAGCGGTATTCGTTCTAAACGCAGTTTAAATATGGTATTTGAAAAAGGTTTGAGTTACCCATCAGTACTCTTTTTCTGAAAAGATAGATGAAGTATTTGTTTGAAATGAAGTTTTAATGCCAAACTGAGTTTCAGATACAGGGAAAGCCTTCTAAAATTTTATAAATAGCTTTAAAATAGATCTCAAATACTTTTTAAGCCTATGACTATTTTGGTATTGTTCGTAAATTATAATAAAAATACCTTCAATTGAGTAAAAATAGTTTTTAAATCAGTGAAATACACTTTAATAACTACATCTCAAACAGTTTCAATGAATTGCCGCGCCGTCGATCTTTGCACCGCATGATAAATTTCCAGTCTAGCTGCTTGATCGCGTAAGTTCAGGCTTGAGAGTCCGAGATCGCCACATCCTTTCGTATTCCAGAGCTCTTTTATGATTCTGATAAACCTCTTTTCTTCCCATAACAATCAAGCGATGGTTGTTCCATTTGCGTCATAGCCACGGCCTCGCGTTTGCAGCTTAGAGGGTCGTCGTTCATTTGTTCTGTCCATTTACGTCTAGGTTTGGATTGCCTTCGGTCAGTCACTGCAGAAAACCTTTTTTAATATCTCTTCACATAATCTTCATAATGTATATAATAAGGTCTGAAACTTTCATTGAGATTGATTCACTGTAACATCTTAAAATTTCAAGACAAACTATCCTACGAACCTGTCAAAAATCTGCTTTACAACATTCACTGTCTTGACGTTCTGCTAATTTTTCCAAAATAATGCGCACTGTACATATCTCCATGACTAGTTACATTTTAGTTTGAATTTATCGCATCTTTTGAATGTAAAACATTGACAATGCTCACACTGAAATGTGCTAGTCATGGATATATGTATTGTCCGCATTAATTTGGAAAGATTGAAATTTCAAGGTGTTGCAGTGAATCGATGTTAATGAAAGTTTCAGACATTATTATATACATTGCGAAGATTATGTGAAGAGATTTTAAAAAAATTCGTTCAAGTCGTTTCAGAGATATACCAAAAAGTGCTAAAAGTCCAAATTTTGAACGAAGTTGCACTTATACAGGTGGTGAGAAAATGGGTTAGTTTTTAAGATATCAAGAACGAAAATACACCAAAATTTCCTAGCTTCGAAATATGATATTAAGTAGCATTCTGACGCTACTTAAGAATAATTTGAGTCATTTATAACGTTTTTTTTAAATGATCTATCACGGCTATAAATTTAAAGTTTGAAATACATTTTCGTTTCAGTCGAATTCAAACGTACAGAATTTTTCTTTTCTTACGGAGATTGCTTGCTAAAACACCAAATTTTAAGTTCCTAGTGTTGGATTTTCGGTAGATGGTCTAGATCACACAAAATTCGGATTTTATCTTTTCAAAGTTTTTTGTTCATTATTGTCATAGTAATATCGATTTTACTTAAAACTACATTTTCACAAATTTCAATCCATAGCCAATTACTGGTGAAAATTTTATAGCGATCGCACAAGGAAAAAAAACACTTTAAGGCGATTGAAAAATAGCGGTATGGCCTCGGAAAAACTTTATCGAAACACCTTAAGGAACACAGGGGTTTCTACAAGGCATCAAAACCGCCGCCCGGTTAGCTCCGTGATGGGATAAGCGCCAGTCTGCTGAGCGAAGGGCCGTAGGTTTAAACCCCGGCCGGACCGACACTCAGGCTCTTTAAATAACTGAAGAGAACGCGCTGCCTTTGTAATAACATCTGCAAACGCGGGTTTGACTTCTTAGTCTTCTCGGATAAGGACGATAAACTTTAGGCCCCGTATCACAAGCCCTTGCACATATAATAAATTTGTGGGGCGTCAAAGAAGCCACACACTTTTCGAAAAGATTAGGGCACGTAGTGCCCGGTGTAGTGGTCTATCTCACTTTCACACTCATGTATGGGGGCATCATTACTAGTTCCCTCATTATTTGTTAAACTCCACCTTAAGCAGTCAGGCAAAGTCCCCCAACCAGTGTTGTAAATTATCCCAGATAGCGATATTTACATTACATTACAAAACGAACAACAAAAAAAGAAGCTGATGTAGAAAGTGCTCTTTATTACAACGTGCGTTTTTTATGGTAGAAGAGTTGTTGTTGTTTGTTTGTTTTTTTTTTATGCGCCCAGCTTGTAATATAGCCAAAGTTTAATGTATGGGTACTCTCATTTTTTCAGACAGCTCGTCTCTGACATACATGGAGTGTTTTTACATGATATCGCTGGGCCTTAGTTCCAAAACAATGAACGACGGCCAAATTTGTTAACCAAGCCAAACCCTTGCCTACTCCGCCCTAGGACTCAAGCTGCCTCATTATTGTGCGCGGCCGATGCGTTTTAGATCAGGTGGCCCGAGCCTCGGATACGTCACCGAAATGCCTTGACCGAGAAGGCATGGGAAGACGCCGTACAGGGACTAGGCAAGCCAAATCCCGTGAGAATTAAACTTATCTCAATCTTTGATTTCTATTTGCTCTTGTTTTCACAGTCTTGAAAGTTGAGGTGCAGTGGAATGGCTTTCGCGAGCATGCGCACGTGTTGAGTCCAAGAGCTTTCAATGACTTCATATGAATCATGTCATACAAGGAACATTCGTAACCTGACAGGTGAAAACTTTCACATAATTTAACCGATATCGATCTCTCCATTTCAGGTAATAAAATGTGCCTTGAAGAGTGTAATCGCCACACAAATCCCATGTATTGAAATTTCAATCCGTCCCGTATACATATTTGATAAAGTAAAAAGTCTCACATGTAGAAATTCAAAGGGCATTAAGGTTATGGCGAATAAAGCATCAAAATTATAAGCTTCGAGGAGTCGACGTGCAAAGCCGTCCTTTGTTTTTGTGTTTTTCCTGTTGTTCGTTATTTTTTTCCCGAAAATTAGTGCTGGTATTCCTCTTTAGAAATTTTACTGGATGATAATTTCGTCTTCTGAAATTAATAGGATTGGTATGCCGAATACACTCTCTTATTAAATTAGTTTCTCAGTTATTGGTAGGTATACTGAATTTTGCATTTAGCCATTATCCATTTTATTGTTTAGATACAATACTACGTTTTTTCTTCGCGGATCGATGATCCTGCTTAACTTATTTCGTCATAAGACTTTACTCGATCTGTGATCCATATACATATTTTTCGGGACTAAGAAAAGTGGCTCCATGCTCTGCTATAAAAACAACTTAATATTGTACTTGGGCTTACAACAAACAAGTTAATAAATCTCAGCTTAATACAACGACGACTGATAATTGATAGGTTAAATTAAAGTTTCAGCTGCGCGACTGAGGGTTTTATTGTTAAGGTTAGAGCTCGTGTTACAGGACTTCAGCAAAGGCTTGTTTACACTGTAACGGATACCGTTAATTTCATACCCGTATGAAAAGCTGGGTATAGCGTGAACGCATATCCAATATGTGACTCTCTACGTTTGAGATCGGGGAGGCGTAGCTTCACCCCGTTACAGAAATCGCGCTAAAATCACCGTTTTTATTTGTGAACAGAAGCCCTATCCGGTATGTTTTTCGTGCCAGTGCAAACGCTTTCCAATATAGTGTGAATACAACCTTTAGGCCTTAAGGCGTCCTTTGCTCAATCAAACCTGGACTCTGCCGTGAGCTGTGACGCAACCGAGAGGGGAATGCCAAGGGACTAGCCTGACTAAACTTCAGGTCACACTTTCACAGCTGGAAATATAACCCTCAGTTACGTTACCTAACTGCATTAATTTCGTACCCAGATCTCCCACGGCCAAGACAGATATAAAATCTGGGTACGAGATTAGTCACCACAAGTCTTAATATTTCTAGGTTGGAGTCATTAATAACTGGCTGTAATCGTGCACTGATATTGTATAACGGGTGACGCATGCGTAATAGGTAGCTCTCCAAGCTATAGCTAGCTCTTCAAGAAAGACCCCCATACCTTTGTAAGCTTTATGCAAATGCAACTAAATCTCAACCAAACAGAATTAGCAAAGCACCTCTTTCTTTTTCAAAACTTATGAACTAAAATTTGCACAGGGTTAAATGCTTGATTACTACGATCAATAACAGCCTTTGTGTTGCAATGGCTCCAGATTGACTCTGTCTCACAAGTTGATATGTGCAGTGTAAGTATTTTTCTCCGTTTTAGCCTTCCGTCCACTTGAAAAAAGACGCGGGTGTTGCGGACACCAAAATGCAGGTTTTCAGAAACGTTCTCCGAAGTAGACCAGCTTCTCGTTTACGAGTGGACGGACGAAAAAGTATTAAAGATACTATAAAAACCAATCTCGTTCCCAAAGGCCGTGATCCTTTTGGTCAGCAAAAGGATCGCAGCCTCTAGGAACCTTAAAGAGATTGTATAAAAACATCATAAACACTGAACTACTAGCGTTACGTATGCTCTGTAAGGGATGCTATAGGGATGTCATCATGCATTGTATTTCCGTCGTTTTCTCGTTTTTCTGTAGACGGCGAAAACGATTCAAATACCCTACGTGTTCACGGTTTTTAAATCCTTTTGTTTTGTTTTGTTTTGTTTTTTAAGAAAAAAAAAAGAGAGAGAGAGAGAGAGAAATAGAGAAAAAACTCTCCGTTTTAAAAAATATCTGAAAACGTGTGAACAAAGCGTAAATGACACGGTAAATGTAATCTGGAACACTGATCGGAGACCGGTCTGCGTCGCCTCGTCGACAGACCTGTGTTTCGGCCACAAAGATTCAAACAAACCTGGAAAGACTGCAGTCGCTAACAATTCACATATCTGCCTTTGATGTACGTCCTGGCCATGGGATGTCTGAAAACGTTAGACGCAGACAGAGTTCTGATCGTGTCGCAGACCGTCGCATAGCTAGGCTTTGGTAGATTGTGCTGGCATAATTGTTTGCATAGCTTTTGGCATAATTTGTCATCACGAGCATAATTATCACCTATTTTTCGAAAAAAAAGCACTGGTAGCCTAATTTGCACTTTTAGCTGGTTAACGTTTTGCAGCACAAAATTGTCATAGTGATCATGCCACCAAGAAAGTTACAGGCAAATTTAAGTAACAAAGTCAATCTCTCTCTGCTTATATCATCACCTTCATGGGACCTTGGTCTAACGGGAGGTGACCCAGGTCCCTTTCCACATGAATCAACGCATGTGCATAACAAGCACGGTTACCCAAGATGATTACCCAAGTTGTCAGACAATGAATGCACTCTTAAAGGTTTCTAGATGTAAACAGGGTAAATTTTTTTGCCATTTAATTTAGTGTTGCATATAACTATTGAGATGTTTTTACCAACTTTTAACTAAATAGTAAAGGCATAATTTCTGCATTTTTTTTCTCTGTTAAAATGAGCATAGTTTACAAAAACTAGCATAATTATTGGCATCATTTTAGAAATATGCCAGCACTGCTAATAGCATATATATTATGTTACTTTTTCGAGAATAATCTGTTAAAGCCTACTGTGGGACACCGTTTAGATTAAGGACCTAAAGATCCAATGACGGCAGCAGCGGCGAAAACGTCAAGAAATTAAAGCAATAGATTACTAATCACTCCGACTTTGCACGTGCATCACGCCTTTTTGTACATTTCTACCGCCCGTCCGATTGCATGACTACGACGTACAATATCCCTAATCTATTTTACGTTTCTGGAAGACGCAAACAAGCAAAGATGAACTTTTCTTCCTCTTTCTTAACTTTGAAATGGTTGTTCAGTAGAGTTCTCCTACATTTGACAAATTCACTGAATATCAAAAGAAAGGGGTGTAACAGTAAGCGGCGTTTTCGCCAACGCGACCGTCCTCGGATCTTAAGGCTCCGTACCTTATAACCACTCAAAATTTTGGGCCTTTTCGATGATCTGCTTTGCAATATGTCTTAAAAAGATTTTTGGGGTGAATTTTTCATTGATTTCAAACGAGTTCTGCGCATGGAAATCAAGGGGTCAACAGATCTCAAGCGAGATAAAATACCTCAACCTCGTCGGGTGAAAAGTAACGGGTTCCAGCCAGGATTGTAGAACTGTTGGTAACTCCATTCGGAAGAGAGTAAGAGGTACCAAAATTAGTGTAGGAATTAGCATTCTGATTAGCATTATCAGCAATGTATATGTCATGCCCCCCACCAAATGTTGGACCACAACTTGAACCACGGTAAACCGCAAATGATGTATTCGTCACCATGCTCTTAAATGGTGCAAGCCCTTCTTTATCCAGAAGAGAGAACACAAACGACTTGGAAGAGGTACTGTAACCAGACGCTATAAATAACAGTAATAAAAAGGAAGAAAAACAAGGATTAACAACCGGCTGCAATTGAAAAAGAGGTGAGCTATTGATCTGCTTCCTCCGATTGTATATTTCAATCAAAAAAACTCTAAGGGGGGTCGATGATTAAATAGAGATTGTGTGTACGTAAATAGGTAATAAACCCCTCAATCTTCTCATCGAAGAAATGAAAGTACCAGGGGCGCCCCCGGAAAGTACGAAACTAGCGGGGACAATTTCACGGAAACTTTGTAGGGATATTCATATATCTATGCCTTAATTGTACGGTCCATAACTTGCCTTTTTCTTGCAGCCCGCCTCTTGGCCATAAATTGGATTTCCTCTCCCTTGCTAAATTTGGAGATTTTGAAAATTTTTTAGCCATTTTTTTTTGTATTGCGAGCCGCTGATGCGTTTCGGATCAGGCGGTCTGCGCGAGTTTTTGGGTCTCGGATACGTCACCAAAATGCATTAACCGAGAAGGCCTGGGAAGACGCCGTGCAGGGACTAGGCAAGCCAATCCCGTGAAAGTTAATCTCATCTCAATCTTTGAGTTCTATTTGCTCTTGTTTCACCAGACCTCTTGGCCATAAATTGGCTTCCCTCTCCCTTGCTAACTTTGGAGATGGCAAAAATTTGCTAGCCATTTCTTTTTTTTTTTTTCGCAATTTTTAGCCAAAAAAATGATTCATAAGAAAATTTTGTGACATATTTCCTTGTAAATATCGAAAAAATAGCAAGAATAACAAATTTAACAAAATTATAGACTCAGAAAGAGAAAACGCAACCACTAGGACTAAGGGCCCCGAGAAGTCAGCAAATTTCGCAAAAATCGCTATAGTAACAAGAAATGTCCTTGTTATCTAAAAAGACTGGGTAACAATTATTGGAAGAAAGGTAAGAATATCAAATTTAACAAAATTCTAGACTTAGAAAGACAAAACACAAAGAAGAGCCTCAAGAAGTCTACAAATTTCGCAAAAATCGCAAAAGTAACAAGAAGTTTCCTTGTTATCTGAAACGAATGGGTAATAAATATCGCAAGAATAGCAACAATAATAAATTTAACAAAATTCTAAAGAAAAGGCCAAGAAGGTTTTATGCATTACATGGTGATAAATGATTGGCGCTTAGCTCTTGGTTAACGATCGTCTTGGCAGTTGCCGGAAAAATCCCTCGTACTTTTGATACGCTTAGCAAGCAAGATTCTGGAAAGAGCGGTACACTTGCAGTTGTATCAGTACTTGATTACCAATAATTTATTGTCCAACAAGCAGTTTGGTTCCCGGAAGGGTTTCTCAACTACAACAGCTTTGACCTCATTTGCTGATGAAGTGCTCTTAAACATGGAACAAGGAAAGCTTTGCGGGGCCGTGTTCATCGATCTAACCAAGGCATTTGACACGGTAGACCATCAAATAATGTTATGCAAGCTATCCGAGATCGGCCTTTCTGAAACAGCTCTTCATTGGTTCCGTTCTTACTTAACTGGTAGACAACAGCGCACATCATGTGGAAATGAGTTATCTGAGGAACTTCCAGTCACGCATGGGGTGCCACAGGATAGCATTCTAGGGCCTCTGTTGTTTGTGATTTACATAAATTACTTGCCAAATGTGCTTCACTCCTGCTACGCGTCACTTTATGCAGACGACACTGTAATTTATTGCTATGGTACATCCTCAAAGGAGTTGAGTGATAAGTTAAATAACGATCTACTGGGTGTGGCGAAATGGCTGCATGATCACAAACTGACTTTAAATTTGGACAAAACTAAATGCATGCTTATCGGTAGTAATAGGAAACGCGAAAGCAAAGTAGATTTGACTGTTTCAATTTTAGATCATAGTATAAGTAATGTTCGCAGCTTTAAATACCTCGGTATACATATATCTTCGGATTTCACATGGACTGATCACATTTAACACCTAACTGGGAAAATCAATCAGAGGCTTGGGCTTCTCAAGCGTATAAAGCATTTATTGCCTTTCAGAGCGCGTCTACTTTTCTATAAAAGTCTTGTTATGCCCCTTTTTGAATATGCTGATCTAGTATGGGGCGATAAACATAATATTACTCTTATGTCTAGTTTGCAAGTTTTGCAAAATAAGGCCGCTAAAGTTATTTTAAATAGACCATTGTACTCATCCTCCACTGAGGCATTAGCCGTTCTCAAGTGGCTGCCTCTAGAGAAAAGGCGATTTCAAAGAAGGTGTGTACACGTATACAAATGCATCAATGGCCTAATTAATCACGATATGGACTTGATTAGACAAGACGTACTTCATAGGCATAATACACGTAACAAAGGCAATTTTAGATTACCACGTGTCAAAAGAAATTGGGTGAAGCAAAGAACACAATATCATGCCGTTTCCGATTTTAACTCCCTCAGTCAGACGATCAAAGACTCCAGGAATGTAAATAGTTTTAAACGTAATGTTTTTAAGTTTTTAATATAGCTACTTGCGTTTAATTTTTACTTATACTTACTTTTAATTTTTTATGCATTTTTTGTATCTTTTTAATCGCTTTGCAATTTTATAGCTTTTTTTGTTTTTATAATATATATCTAGTTTTGAGGTCCTTTTTGAAAACCATATCTTTTATGAAAAAGTTTCCTCAATAAAGATGATGATTATTATTATTAGCAAATTTGCAGCTTGACGAAACCCTTCTATTCCCTTTAATGTCTTATGTCGTGCGCCTTAACTTTTGTCTGTTTTGCTAAATTTGTTTTTCTTTGTTTTTTTTTTCCGGTTCTTTTTCAGCCGCTTAGGTTGTTCATTTAATTTGAGGATAATTTCCACTTTCATTTGTAATTTTGATAACGTCAACCTTTTAGGCACTGCCAGTTTTAGAAAATCGTCCTTTTTCTTTGCTATAATTGCTAAATTTGCGGAATTTGCCTTTGTCATTTGCCTTAACGATTTCCTTACCATATTTGCGATTTTCATGGTTAAAACCCGTTTAGCCAGTTGCGCATAGATCCTTGCTGCTTTACTGTATTTCCTAAATTTGCAGCTTATGGACCCGGGGATACTAAAAAAAATTATACTCTTTATACCATTCCTTGACAGAAAAGGGATCGTATACCTTCCATTGACAAATAGTACCCCTGCACCTCTTTCAGGGGCACCCAACGACAATTTTCGGAAAAATATCTGTTCGGAAGACGATTTGAGATCTAGAATTTTCGGACATTTGTTGTAAAATTTCTTGCTAGCCTGCCTCTCCTAGGATTTTCGAACATCTAAAAAATGCTATAATTGCCTATTTTTAACGGAGTTTTACCCTAAAAAGGTCACCTAGAATTTTCGGGAGCCTTTTTCCTGGCTGAAATTTTCGGAAAGGTAAGTTTTGATCCCTATAATTTTTGGATCACTAGACTATCAGCTAGGAAATCTGAACAGATGAAAAATTTTTAGGGGATAAAAATATGCCGATATCTACGGTTTAAATACTAAAATACGTTTAACAATTCTATGTTTAAGTGGTTTTGAACTATATTCTCGTTGGGTGCCCCTGCTCTTTTTAAGCTACTGTAAATGGACCGTCTTTTAAATATGAATAAATCTCTCAACCAGAACGGTTCTTGTCTTTTTCATAGTCTTTTAACCTTTTTAGGTCCTTTCAAGACCGCAATGACAGATTTTCTTTCCCTTCCATATACTTCAACTAGTGAAACCTCTACTCTTGCATATACCTAAACCCTGAAAAGGTACTTCTTTAGGGAGAAGCCTTCATGCATAGGCCATTATAGGTAGGGTTTAGGAGTCAAGGAGGCTCTTGCCTTGCTATTTTTTTCCGTCGTTTTATAGACAAAATTTTTTGTTTCTTGTTATAGCATTCTGCAAGTAGATACTTGTTGCTAAAACTGTGCTAGGACATATTTCAGTTTACCGATTTTCTATTTTTTTTTTTTTTTTGGCACGACTTTAAATCATGAAAATAATTGGAAGAATCCATAAAGGTTTGCAAAGACCATATGGCTAAATTAGAAATAGCCGCCATATTTCTTCTTATCTAAAAGAAAAAAAAAATTACTCAAGACGTTTAAGGCCTGGGTCAAAGTTGTGTTTGGAGCATATGAATGATTGGCAATATCTCTCGCTAGGAGATCTAGAAAAAAATGAATTTTTGGCCAAAAGTAAATCTTGAGGTTTTCTTGTGCCTTAAAGTTTAATCATGGCCACTTGACATGTCAGATGACCAAAAACTGAATGGTGGCGAATTTACTTTGTTTGGACAAACAAATTGGCATTTCTGAAAGAAGATAAACATACCTAACTTTTTACGTTTGGAATGAATGCACGCAAAGTTAAGAATTAAAGTTTTAAATAATTCAAGATCCAATTAGGGCATTTTAAATGATGTTCTCCCTTATAATTTTTTTATTGAAGTGCAATGGATGGTCATTCGAAACCTGAAGTATTAGAAATATTTAATAAGAATTGGAAAAATGTTATCGCTCGATTTTTTTTTCTTAAACCGGCCACTAATTGGTCAATAATTTAAGATTTTTAGCAAAATGGTCACGTAATATGTCACGCGACTTATTAACACAATATTTTTCCTATAAAATGTTAAGGACGATGCCATGATCTCTGTGCCGAAGTTTTAGCCAATAAATAATTTTCCACAGGTAAACCCCTTAGTCCCAGGCCTTAAACTACTTGAGAGCAAAATCTCTTCATACTCTGAAACACTTTTTAAATGGCAAATTTGCAATTTTTCCCAGTTTTGAGCAGCTTTTTATGCTCTCTAGTGCTCATAGCTATGAAAGTTTCAGTTGGGGTTCAACTGTATTTATGCTTTTTTTTCTTTTTGGTAAGCCGTGGTGTAATAAGTTTCAAACAAAGCCGAGTATACTTTCTCACGATTTCCTTTTGGTATCCCCTTTCCAATGATCCTTTAGAAATTCTCATTAGATCATAGAAATGAAGCAAATTCGGTAGCCAAAACAAACACCACCCTCCCCACCCCCACTCTCAGATTTGGTGCATAGTCCTTAATAAATACCTCTCCTTTGGGCGATAGTTGACACTATCCTTTATCCTCTCTTGCCGATTGTCAATTTAGTAAAGTCAAGCAAAACGATAGAGGCCTTAATGTTTGTGCCAAGCATCTTAAAACTTACTACTCTATTCCTTTAATTTTTCTGTTTTAATTCTATCGGAGCCCTTTTACAGGGAGCTAGATTACTAGGGCTCTTTTAATATTAAAAAAATAATAATAATTTAACTATTTTTCGCGAAGTAATTCATTATGCGTTTATATTGCACGCTTCCTAGAGTCATGCACTGCGTGCACTATGATAAGTTCAAAGTATTATGCACGTAATTGACGTATCACCTACCACTGGTTTCACAGAGGTATTTAAGACTGTTGAAACATGCTAAATCATTCCATTTTCCATTAGAAGGAAACATCGTTGTGCAATCCTCATTTCTTCCCTGGTCGTTGGGTTCTCCAGGATTCCAGTTAGTATATGTCGCTCTTGATCCATCAACCCACAACCAACGTGAATCGTCTTTGGGATCCCTGTACAAACCAATCCATACTCTTTGTGATATGTTCGAAGCAAGTGCTTGATGTTTGGCTTTTGATGTCACCATAGCGAGCTTAGACCCCATAGCTTCACAAGCAGATTTTGCAGCGGTCCAGCTCAAACTCTTTGACGAGACTTTGTAGCATGAACCTTGTAGATGAATCCAGTTATTGGGACAAAGCCCTACATTTTTGGAAAGACAAAAGTACACTTGGTGATGAGTTAATTTATCTCATCACTTTGATTCTTTCTTGTTGAGTTAAACAGATCAGGACACAGCCGAAGAACACTCAAATTCAGACCTTTTGTAAACAATCTGATCTGCAAGGGTATGGGCGTAAAATTTATTCGGAAATGATGAATTCATCAGACGCGCACAAGCAATTAAAGAAACTTAAAATAGATGGTAGCCTCTTATATCGAAGAAATGTAGGCCAAATGGTGCGAAGAAAGCCACCATATCTTCATCAAGGAATAAAAATAATGATAGATGTTATAGTGATTGCTACGTTTGTATATGCTATATGCTGCAAAAATACTGAAACGAGTGTCTTGTAAACGGGTTCGTTTTAAGTTCAACCCCCTGGTTAAAGTATCAAGTTTGAACGTACCGCGCTACATGATGATTAATATATTCACATTTTTTTGGGTGATGCGACATAAGGTCCTCTTCTTGAGAGTATTTCAGCAGTAGAGAAGGTGAGCCTTTGCTCAAAAAGTAGGCTGACTTTCATTGGCTCTAGGAGTTGGTTGCCTTCTTTGGCGGTCAAATAAAGCCTAACCCCCCCCCCCACTTCCCCCCGCAGATTGGTGTCCTCTAGAGCTTTATTTTTATTTTCCAAAGAGTATCTCCAACTCTTTTTCATACACTAGCCATCCCCCGGGATAAAAACCCACTTACCCCAAGGAATATCAGTGTATCCTCCGAACACGTACGAGCCTTTTTTGATGATTGCAATCGTGTGATTTTTCCAATCACATCCGCTGTGGAAGGTACTGGCAGCCCAGCCATGAGTGGAGGCCTGCCAACACAGAGCCCAGTTGCTGTTATTCCCAATCGCAGGGGAAAGAAACTGTTTTACCACAGTCGAGATAACATCTGGGTGAAGGAGAAAATAGGAATTGGTTTCACTTGTTTATATCTCTTGCAGACATCATCCAGCTATTCGTGGCGAAACATAGAGCAACGAAGTGCTGCAATTTTTCAGGGTTAAGGTGTTTCGATACAGTTTTTCAGCGGCCATACCGATATTTTTCAATCGCCTTAAAAATCACGACTTTTTTCCTTGTCCGATTGCTATAAAATTTTCACCAGTAATTGGCTATGAATTGAAATTTGTGAAAATTTAGTTTTAAGTAAAATCGATGTTACTGCGATAACGATAAACAAAAAAAATTTGAAAATGATACAAGCCGAATTTTGTGTGAACTAGACCAGCTACTGAAAATCCAACACTAGCAACTCACAGTTTGGTGTTCAGCAAACAGTCTCCGTAAGGAGTAAAAAATTCTGTATGTTTGAATTCGACTAAAACGACTCAAAATATATTTCATACCTTAAATTTTCAATAGCCGTTATAGATTATTCAATAAAAACGTTATAAATGACTCAAATTATTCTTAAGTAGCTTGAAAATGCTGCTTAATCTCATAGTTTGATGCTAGGAAATTTTGGAGTATTTTCGTTCTTGCGATCTTGAAAACTAATCCGTTTTCTCACCACCTGTATAAGTGCAACGTCATTCAAAATTTGGACTTTTATTAGCGCTTTTTTGTATATCTCTGAAACGACTCGAACGAATTTGTTTAAAATCTCTTCACATAATCTTCATAATGTATATAATAATGTCTGAAACTTTCATTAAGATTGATTCACGACTGCAACGCCTTAAAATTTCAAGACAAACCTGTCCTACGGACCTATCAAAAATCTGCGTTAGAAAATTCACTGTTTAGATGTTATTCTAATTTTCCAAAATAATCCGCACTATACATACCTCCATGAATAGTACAGTTTAGTGTGAATTTATCTTATCTTTTGAACGTAAAACATTGACAATGCTCACACTGAAATGTACTAGTCAGGGATATATGTATTGTCCGCATGCATTAATTTTGAAAGAATTAGCATAACGTCAAAACACTGAATGTTGTAGCGCGGATTTTTGACAGGATCGTAGGATAGGTTTGTCTTGAAATTTCAAGATGTTGCAGTGAATCAATCTTAATTAAAGTTTCAGACGTTATTGTATACATTATGAAGATTATGGGAAAAAAAAATAAAAAAAAATTCGTTCAAGTCGTTTTAGAGATATACAAAAAAGCGCTAATAAAAGTCCAAATTAATAGTATATATTATCGATTTTACTCAAAACTACATTTTCACAAATTTCAATCCACAGCCAATTACTGGTGAAAATTTTATAGCGATCGGACAAGGATAAAATCACTTTTAAAGTGATTGAAAAATATCGGTATGGCCTCTGAAAACCTATATCGAAACATCTTAAACTCGAGAATATGCACAGGCCAAGAGGCCGTCCATCAAGCTAACTAAAAATGAATACGAAGAACATAATTTTGCCGGAATTAGCCTTGTTTAGACTATAATTCAGACGAATGAATGTAGGTGGCGCTGCCAGGCAGCGACATATTACAAAACGGACGACAGACACTCTCAGATCGGCGAATACAGCCGTAACTCTTTGCTCCCCAGTGCTAGGGACCTTTTTGCGGGAGAAACGTCACCGATTCGGCTAGGCTGTGCAGCAAGCGTTTCCGCGCTCGAAAGTGGAAGCGAGAGCAAAGAAAATGGAAGTAGGGAGAGGGGAAGGGGAGAAAAGGTTCCTTTCTACCTCCTCCCTATTTCTTTATTTTTTTGTATTCAGTTTTTTAATTTATTATTTTTTGGGCCCTTGGTGCAGCTAATGACGTAAATCGATGTTTACATAATCAGTCTCGCTGGTAGTCATGGGGTTCGTTTATTATCGTCAAGTTTCCAGTTCTTCTGCGTGCGTGTGACAGCAAAACTCAAATGTCTTCTTGTAAACAAAGATGTAACGAAGATGTAACAAAGATGTACTCCACCAATAATGAATGTTTTTAGTGGACTCATCCCGTTTACATTTGATCTTTGTGTATTGTAAACTAGTAATGATAGATCATTTAGGTCTCTGCGAGATCACAGATGTCAGCGAAACAAACATCGCTTAGGGTACAAAATCTTTTGCGATTGTGCGAACTGTTCATCGTTATTCAGCTCCAAAAAATTCCGCACAGATACATCAGACGTCGAAATAAGCACTACTTGGGAATACACGGGTAAAATTCTGTAAACGTAACGTACTTTATCCCGGAATGTGTTTTGTGCAGTGGGAAAAAATAAATAGAAGCAAACGCACAGGTAAAGTCCTCAACAGAGCATAAAGAGCATGAAAATTGTTACCTGTACTGAGCCAGGTTGTTCAAAGATGCAATCTTGGACAAAAAGTGTTGTCTATTTTGCACTCTCTTACCCTCCAGAACGCTCTATGACCCCTCCCCTTGCCCCACCCTGGTCAAAGTTGTTTAGTCGGGTTTAGAAATGATCCACCCCGGCTTCAACGTTGTTGTTTTGGGTGGACAAGGGAGAGTATTTGTAGTTGTCAGCGCTTTCAAAAGCTTTATCTTGAATCTAGACATGGTATAATGTCCATTTGTCCCAACATTTTTCTCCAAGATTGTGGGTTGAGATAACCCAGAGTTAGTGCAAAATTTGAATTCAGCTATGAAAGCGTAAAAAAACAAATTCAGTTCAATTATTTTTGTCTACAATGAGGTGATGGAATGTTTCTAAATTGAAGAATAGCGAAAATTACCCGAGAAAATGCTTTCGTGCAAAAGAAAGAGAAATCCAGATTAAAATTTAACACCGGGTTCAAGCGATAATAGTGCTCTTCGAACAGCTGGGCCCTGGTGTTTATTTGTGTCTTGGTACGATGTTTCAGCTCAATCTGACCGGTATAACATCTCTTACTAACAATGAAGTATCGTCCGAGAAGGGTAGGCCAGAATCGCCATCTCAGGGATAGAACCCGCCTCAAAAACAACTCGAAATTAATTCTCTCGCCTAAATCAAATAACTCCGTGCTTTCGAAAAATGACGAGTTGCACCATCTGTTTTTTCTTGATCGAACAAGGGTAATGGGAATGTACCTATGACTAAATTCCGGCGCCAAAAATGCAGACGTACGGCAAAAAAAATGTTGAAAAGGCAACACATGTACCTGACTATGGGAGGAGAAGCAAGTTCTACAGGAATCCAAAATATTAGAGGTTGAGTTCTCCTAACGTCGAACGCGCACGATGCAAAAGCTAAAAGAATGAGATTACAAAGTCGACCAATCACCAGATTTCAGAAAGATGTACGTAATCAATAAATTTGCTGGCTGAATTGCAAACATCTCTCCCACAAAACGCCTCTAGCGGGGAAGAATGAGGAGGGACAGCTGAACTCGCATTGTCGGCTGGGTGTAAAGGCTTCGTGTAGGATTTAAATTGATCGTGTATATTATCACCCAACAGCATTCAACACCTTCACCTATATTAGGTACTTACATAACTTGATGTACCGTGTAGCACTTTTATTATACGGTGCTTAATTCTTGTGGATTTTGCGGATGGTCGTTGATCCGCAAAAATAAGTTCCGGCAGATAACAAAAAAAAAACCAGCAAAATTAAAAACCGCTATTTAAAAATAGCTTTTAATCCATCAGTGCTGCTAGTACCATACATCAAGATAAAACAAGAACGTTTCGTTTAATATTTGCCCTGATGAGAAAAAGCAATCGGACCTTGCCTGCTATACAAATAAAACGAAACGATAAAACGATAAAAGTTTAAGTCAATACTTTTCCAGTGTCTAAGGCACAAGAGGTACACTGAAGAACAACGATGCTCTACCGGTAGCTCTAGATACGCTTCTGCTGTTGCTTGCGCAACAGGTGTTGATTGACTGAGTTTAGATTCGTTGTATTTTCATTTGTGTTTTAAGTCGGGCTTTTACAGCTTAACTGGAAATGTTTTGTTGTAACCGACCAGCTTGTCGTTGACTGAAATGTCTGAGAAGTATAGACTGCTGTTTTACCTTAAAAAAAAGTAATAAAAGTTGAAAATATTACGATCCTCGATACCTTGTTGATGTTTTGCTGCTCGAAAAGAAAACTGCCGGCAAAAATTAGTTCCATCCCAGCGGAAATTTCAGTTAATTGGAGCCGTAAAAATTTGTTCCTGTAAACCTCAAAAAATCGCCAATCCTCAAAATAAAAGTCCGTCAAAAATTTCATGCTACACGGTATAGACGGTATAACATGTTGCGTATGGGCGAAAAATTCAATGCAAATAATAACAAAAAGAATCTAACCAATTTCGCATCGATTCCCAGCATATCCTGGAGGGCAACTGCAGTTGAAGCCATCAATTAGGTCGATGCAAGTTCCATTGTTCAAACAAGTGATATTGACACAGTCATTTATATCTGTAGGAGAGAGTCAAAGCAAAGGTATTTTACAGAATGTTCCGCAATTTCTAGCAGTACATACGACTTCAGCAAAAATTGAAATACGCCGCAACATGTAGTAGTACTCAGGGTTTCTCCACAGGCAAAGTTCTCTAATAATGTGCCCCCCTGTGATTTAACTTTCAAGAGAGAGACAGTTTAGAGAAAACAAAAAGTTAGCATAATTTTATACTTGTTTCAGCCAAGTATCGCTTACTCGTTTCGCAGTTTCGTCCCGTGAATCCTTTCACGCAGGTACACTTATATCCATTTTTCTGGTACAAGGGAATGCATTTGCCAGTGTTCTTACAGGGCGAGCTGTCACATGGAGACTACACAAAGAGAAGCAAGCCAGATATACAATATAAGTATTAAGTATAATTAAACTATAATGTAATCTTATGATTAGCCGGATAAATTTTTGTTGGTAAAGTTTTTCACGATATTTATTATGGATTCAGGCTTAGCAAGGTGTGTGATCGTAGTTATTCTAATAGTCAGAATCAAAAGAATTTCGGACTTTTGGAACACGACGTTCTTCATCCCCCAACTTAAAGGGGCTATGTCAGCTGGAGAGCATGCGCGCTGAAGTTATGCAAATTACTTTCAACCGTCAAAATTCTATTGCTTAAAACGCTTGACTTTCTCTGTCACTTCCTCTGAAAATTACAGGGACGTTTACAAGCGATTGGGTTTGTATAAGGGATATTTTGATAGAATTTAAAGAATGTTTCCTCTCTGGTTATACTAGATCAAGTTCTCTCAATTTCTTCGAACGCATGCCATTCATAAAAGTAGAGCGCAAACAAAAACTCAACAACAACATTGTCGTATTCAACAAAATAGATCAAAGTTTTTTTTATTAACGACCTACAAAAGACTCTAGACCAAAGACTAATAAAGACGAAGCCCTATTTGTTCAAAAGGTGGATAGCGCTATCCACTGGAAAAACCACTATCCAACGGATAGCGCAATTGGTTTTCGTCATGCTTATCCTCTGGATAACGATTTATCAGGTGAATAGCGCTGTCCAACGTTTGTACAACAGGGGCCAAGACTGTTTCAAATCTTTAATAGTTAGACTTGTCTTTCTTTACTGATTTATAATTTAGATGCTGACAGAACAAAAGAGACGCTGTTGTTGATGTCTTTGTTTTGACATTTTTTTAAATAGGGAAACCCACATTGATCGCGCAAAATTGTTCGATCGTGCCGAATCAATGCGACGTGGAGAAAAACAGAACCAAGTATCACTGGCACACTACTCCGTTGTAAGCAGTCCGTCATTAAAAATGGAAAGTAAACTCTGATATTAAGTTTCCAAAAATATGCTCGAACACAAACAGTTCAAAAACATGGCATTCACAGAATCTAACTCGTCCTGTTGCCTCTCCTACGTCCGTTGAGAACAAGCTGCTGGAAGAGCAACCGGTCGCGTTTAGCGTTGCCGTGAATCAAGATATATACAAGAAGGCCAAGCAGGAATCTAGCCGAATTCTATGACCATGGTTCATACAACTTCAGACAAAAACATTTCTAGGACTTTTCAAGGATTTTTCAAGGACAAATTATAATTTTCAAAGACTAAGATTTATCAAATAAATCGGCATTCTTTAACCCACTTTCATCACCGTACAGTTGCTAAAACACGTCAAGGAGTTTTTTGTGATTTTTACCGCTTCTTCGGCCATTGTTGATCACATTATTTTATACGTCTACTTTCCGCAATAAGACTTTGCAAACTGACTGGGTATGACTTGCAATTGCATCTTAGGTTCTCAAATAGCATTTGAAATAAAGAAACAGAAATAAAATATTGTTCATACACAAAAATGTTGTTACGTTATTCGTGAGTTTCACAGGTTCTTACATCGAGGATGAGTCAAATATTTTAGGCTAAATAATATAATTTTGCAGAAAATGGTATCTGGTGTAGACAAGGTTGTGAATATCAAGGACTTTCCAAGACCTAATACACAAATCCAACACTTAAATAATAATAATAATAATAACAACAACAACAATAATAATAATAATAATAATAATAATAATAATATTAATAATAATATTAAAACGCAAGTTTGCTGATGTTTTTACTTAGATTTTTTAGAGTATTAGAGTTTGATATTATTCTAAATAAGCTTTTAGTAGAGATAACCACATTAAGATGGCCTCGTGTAGGTATATAAGAGAAAATGAGAGTATAAAAACTGAATAATTTTCTAATTAGGCTTCCAGTAGAGATAATTATATCATCATGTCTTTGCGTAGGTTTTACAGAGTATAAGAATTTAGTAATATTCTAAATTGGCTTTTTAAGTAGGGAGATTCATATCATTATGTACATTAGGATCGTATTAGGTTTCGTACCGACCTTTTTTACTTCTAAGTGAAGCTTCTCAAGTGGTTTAGGTTACATTATGCGCCCTATACTACTCATAATGTGGACAGCATTCCAAAGTTTTATACTGCGACATAATAATAATAATAATAATAATAATAAATACATTCTTAAATGGCGCATTTACAAAGCTCGATGCGCCTTAAAATGATTTACAAACAGAAAATAAAATGAAAATCCCTATCTAAATAAGTTCACCATAATGCTTACTTAAAAAACGCCGTCCTAAAAAGATGAGTTTTCAACTTGTTTTTAAAACAGATTCCAGTCTTGGCATTCTTAATGTCCTCCGGTAGGGAGTTCCACAATTTCAGTGCCACAAAAGAAAAAGCTCTACACCCCTAGTTTTTAGTTTTAGCTTTTGAGGACAGAGTAGTGAACGTGACGCTGATCTTAAAGTTCGTGACGGTTGATGCATTTTAATTAAAGGCTTCAGGTAGTCTGCAGAGTGGCCATGTATAGTCTTATACGTTATGAGGAGAATCTTAAATTCAATCTTCTTTTCAACTGGAAGCCAATGCAAGTTCTTTAGTATAGGCGTTGCATGACCTGAAAGTTTTACGCCCATCACAAGACGCGCCGCAGTATTCTGGATTCGTTGGAGTTTATCCCTTTGATATTTAGGAATACCATACAAAAGACAATTGCAAAAGTCCAATCGCGAGATGACAAGGACATTAACTAACATTTTAAGTCCGTCTAGCGAGAGATATTTCCGAATGCGTCCCATTGATCTTATGGCGAGAGTAGATTTCTTACAAATTCAATTGATGTGACTACTAAATTACATGATTTCAAGGACCTAAACCGAATTCAAGGACTTTTCAAGACGACTAGTAAAATTCAAGACCTTTTCAAGATTGTAGGAACTATGAATGACGTTTTCTTCGCCAGAAGTTTATTTTCGTCCCGAAACTTATGGCATGCATGCTTTTGTAATCATTTAATAAAAACAGCCGCCGCCAACTCGATAGCCGCTTCATTGTATGTCCAAATACTTTGAGCACACAAACACACAAAATTCATGAGCCAGCAACCTCAAAAATAACTGAACAGAAAGGTTGGGGATAAAGTTTCCTAGTCTCAGAAAACTTAATAAAGTAAAGTAACATTAAATGAGGCATTTTTATTTCATTATTAGAAGAGATTAAAAAACTTTAACACTTATTTTTATTGTGGCCTCAAAGTTATAAAATACAAGTTTATTTGAATCTTCCTCCTTCCTTTTTGGGGTTTGTTTCTTATATTCCCCAGCAAGAGCCAACGAGGCGGGCAGCGCCGAGTTGGCTATAATCATCTCATATTCAACAA